TACGGGTCCTATTGGCAGAATTTTGACCTCATATGTTCCAGCCTCTACATCATCTACTGTGTATTTGTGACATCTTTTATAGGTTCGCATTGATGGATTGACGGGTCACATCCAGTTCAACGAGAAGGGTCGCAGGACCAACTATACTGTTAGTGTCATGGAACTGGCCCCATTTGGACCCAAGAAGGTAGGCCTAAGGCACCAGTCTTAGAGATTCATTCTTGCCTGAAGAGGCTTAAAGTTGTGCTTGAAACTGAAATATCTCAGCCGCTCATTTTCCTTCCTATTTTCAGTAAGTTGAAAATAAGAAGGAAAATATCAAACGCTTTAAGTGCTTCAGAGAGCAAGAAGTTCCTTTACTTACTGAGTAGAAACTTCCTGCTTCTATCAGTGAACGAAACACAAACCTTCACTTTTGCTCCGAAGTTTATATACATTAAATATGTAATATGCATTTAAGGACAGGGAATTATTAATATATAAATGTCACATGAAGTATCCGGATGGTTTGAAATTTAGAAGGAACGCATGAAATTGATCAAATGTCTTCTAATAACAGAGGTAAAATAAAACAAAAATACTTTTAAGGTGTAAAAATCTTCATGCTAGAAGAAGCATGAATCAAATCTGCTTTCCATATTACAGTACCCCAAAACAGACAGAAAACAGCACAGAGAAAAGCAGCTGTATAAATTTTGCATCCCAAACGTTTATTTGAAGTTTTTTCAAACCCTGGTAGTAGAAAAAAATAACACTATTTACTGAAAGCAAATGGCAGTCCTTAACTCCACAATTCTGAATTATACATCCATGTTTTTCTGTATTCTGAAAGCATGCACTCTGGGTTTAGGTTTGCATGAAGCATTTCTTCTCTTTAGGATATATTCAACCAAATTTTATGAAAAATGTATAAAACAAACAATTATTTTTAAACGAGTCGAAGTATTGCACTGAATGTTATCACCCTTTGACATTAATATTTAGCACGTTTGCAACAGCATGCTGTAGACAGAAACCTCTTTAACTCGCTATCTAACATTTTCTATATTTTACTGCTTTCCTTTTTTATTACCAATAGAAAAATCTCCAAAAACCTGAATTAGTTTTTATTTTCATATGAGCTGAAACAGTCTTTTTAAGCCAGTGACACAAAAACGGTTCCAAGCTGCCTTTAGGCTCAATAGTGCTGTAGCAAACTCCTGTCAGATACCTGTCTACGTCTCTGAAAACCCCAACCCCTTTAAAGGGAAGAAGAAGACCTCACCTATTCAGCCAGGCCAACAATTTGCTTTAACGACCCCCCTTTCAGAGACATAGACAGGTATGGGGCATTGCAGGCTAACAAACGAGGCCAAACAACCCCCCTTCCAAAGGGGTGGACCCGTTCGTCCGTTTCAATTTGCATGTTTTCTAAACCAAAACAAGACTTTCTTCGGCTACTGGATAAAACCTCGAAGTCAATGCTACTATTCCTGACATTTTGAATTGAAAAAGCGTCCTGGATGGGATGCGAAATATCTTAAAATTTGGAAACAAAGTCCATTCTATTGTTTTTTTTTTTTATCTTTAGGGGAAAAAAATGTTTTTTGGCTGATTAGTGTTACTGGATTATTACGTGGTGAGATTTTCCAGTTACTTTGATCAGTTCCCTTTGAAGTAGTGTTGCAACGATGCCATTTTTTCGGCCCTGATACTGATACCCGATACCTGGCTGTGCAGTATTGGCCAATACAGATACCACACCGATACCATCTGTTTGAAATTGATCAAATAAAATTAAATAATTGCCATTATGACTTTGTCAAGCTGTTGCCTACCTTTGTGAGAAAGACTTAAAGGAATAGTACACCCAAAACATGATTAGCCTTC